CATAGAGCAGAACTTTTTGGAATAATGATAGATTTAATGATAGATGAACTGAGTTGTTTAGTAACCGCAGACATGTTTGGCAGCTTTTCAGGAGAAGAACTTCATGGTGGAGACGTTTGGGTTCGCCTCACCGCACAGGGTCTGGGCAGCTCGCAGTCACTGACTCAACTGTGAAAGAGTGCTTGAAGATAATACGAGGCCGTCTGTGTCAAAGGTAAAGCTGAAACTGACGTGTAAGAGGATAATCATCGCAAGTACACAGCAAATCCACCAAGGGTTGGTTAATAAAGAAAAAATGGAGGGTTATGGAATGGTTGAGCGAAGGAAAACTGCCCACGGAAATGTTGGGAATTTAGGGTTAAAATTTTGGAACGTCCCGTCAGAGACTGATGGGTATTGGTGCAGACAAGAAGTTATTTCTGTTAAAGACGTTTTCACAGAACAATATCACATCTATAATATTTCCTTGTGGTGTTTTCAAGTAGACCATATTTATTTGCAGAGGTTTCAGCACAGAAGCTCAAAAGTTCACTCGTGCAAATATGTTCAAAAAGCCAACAATGTCCACTCATTTTCACCTATTCACTCTTTTTTATTAATATATATATATATATTGCTGTACCGCAAAACAGTCGATGTCTCTGAATCCATGAACTACCGCTGAATGATAAGCGTTAATATTAAAGAAGCGTTTCACACAGATTAGAAACGTTCGGTATCAGGTAGGGCCGGGCCATGTCATACCGTGCAGGGTAATACCGCTGTAATGTTAGGGAATGACATGAAATTGAAATGTTGCGATAAAATTTGCAGTGCCGTTGTTTTCGTCCGGTCCAGTGCACATGGAGCGAGAAGAAGCATGGCGGCGACCGAGGAGGAGGGCGGATGCATCGATCGACACCGTAGGGCTGGACCCGGTTATAAGAATATTTGGTCGTTATGGTGGTGTCCACATAGCAATGTTGAGATCCAAATATTCGCCCACCGCCACCACCCGATGGTGGAAACAGAGCTGTGACCGCGATCCTCAACTGGCATCAGCAGCCAAGTCCTGCCTGTGCGTCCCGCCCACTTCCACCCCGTCGGTCCGAATTGTCACCCGCCGCTATTCAACCACCCCCCAACTGACGTGACGGTGAGACCAAAGAAACTGGCTGCAAAGTTTAAGGTTGCACAGCAGCTCAGCGTAGTATCCACAGATGTAAAGTAGAGTCGTTATGCTCAGGATGTGTCGGCCCATTTCCATTTGCCTTTTGATTAAACTAATTGTCAGCAAGCGATTAACAACTTATGCACGATTGATTTTGGTGTAATACACCTTTAATGCAGCTGATTGATGAATGGAAGAGAAACTGTTGTTTTTATTTCCTTGCAACAATACACTCGTGCAGTTTTGAAGTATTTTGTCTGGCGTCAATTATATTGTCAGTTACATCGTTATTGCACATTTTCTCATTTATATCGTGATAAATATTTTTGGCCACATCACCCTGTCCTAGCATCAAGTCACACTCCAGCGTTGACTTTAGATATTGACGTAGACAGCAGCTTCTCTGTGCAACTGTTAAAAAACAACAAACTTAAAAGATCATTTAAAAAAAAAAAAAAAATATCTGTTTAATATTAGATAATCAATATCAGCAGTCCAACCATCATCAGACTTTTAAAAATCTGTCTGTCTAAAAGTGACTGTGCGTATCCACGGGGCTGTAGAACTGCTGCGTACATGTTTCAGCTCAATTTCACATTGTGACATTTAAAGATCATTTAAAGGTCATTTGAAGGTCTGCCGTGTCATTTAGTCCAGCGGCCACTGCAACTGCTTTTTTCTAAATATCTGTTAGTTTTCCTGAAACTATCTGAGCAGCCGCTGGTTTGGTTAGTTTACTGAGCAGCGGTGGGGAGGCGGGTTGGAACACCACGTGGAAAAACTACCGCGAGCACCAGATGTCAACATGCTGATATTTGATAGTTCACATGCAGTAACTGTAGACATGTTAGCTAAATGTTTGCATTCGCCGCTAAGTGCAGCTGAAGTTGTTTAGGGGCAGCGTGGAGGAAGCCAAGACCGACTCTGTAAATGCTGCCACTGGCTAAAGGCTGAACCACACAGCCTGTCTTTGTTTTCACTTGATTGACAATGTTGGTTTCAAGCATGTAATAAGGATTACGCCCTCGCAGAGCTGCAGGCGTAACTGCAGACTTTTTGTCTTGTTTGTGCCACTTTGACTCATTACTGGAGGATCGCCAATCTTGTCTCTGGTCTGGCTCGGCTGTCACACCGTTAATGATCGAAAAATACTGGAAAAATAATCAAAATAACAACAACAGCAGCTGGATGTTCGGTTGTTTGCTTGAAAACTGACAAATAATTAATAATATTTTCAGTTTAAATAAATATCCAACCAGTCAGCTCCTAGCTAGAAACTGTCTTTTGTCGAGGACACACACATTGTGAAGAACACGACGGCTGCAGTAGACTTACCTGGAAGGTGCCACGCCCACTAAGTTGGGCCCCAAACCCCTGAAGAGAGATCGAGGTCCTTCTTTCTCCAATATCAATCTGAACACAAAACACACAGAGAAACATGACTCTTCCACGACAAGGTTATGCTTCTTGCTAATGGATGCACAGTTTCCTACGAATGTTGTTCAGTCTATGGTCATGTTGGCAGGAACTCATCTGAGTTTTTTTAAATCCAAAATAACAGCAAAATACCTAAAGCTAATGGCCCCAATTAATTTTGGGTTGTGATATCGCACCACCATCAAGTCAAAGCTTTAAAGTCTGTACAAACATCAGGACAACCTTTAGCCTACATTCAAAGCCTTAAAACCAGCAGGGGATCTAAGAATAGAAAAACTGTCCGACGACACTCTTGGATTGTTGGTGTAATGAACACTTCAGGGTCCAGAGACACACAACAAAACACACACACACAGACGCATCAGTCAGTTTCCACAGAATACAGACTCATTGTCCAGCTTAACAGATGGCAGCGTGTCGAGCTGCACAACTTTTTCATAGCAGCATTGATTGAACCTGTGGCCTGGACAGCACAACATGAATGCATTCGCTCACAAGAAGTGTTTCTGTCTTAGTCATGTGTCATAAATACTGGTGTGGCGTTACTGCCTTAGTGAGCTGCAGGGTGCAAAAAACTGGCCAGATAACCGTGCTGATATTTCTCAGCCAGCCTCAGTGACCACACCCTGTCACCCACTGTCTGCAGCCCATCAGCAATACCTGCATTCAACAGGAGCTGAATCAGTCAGGGGATCCACTGCTTGCCCACAGGGGAAGGTTGTAGCTGCTACAGCGGCTGGCAGCACATGATTTAGTTCAGTGAATTTGAAAGGTGGCATGTTGCCATCAAACATTTTTGTTTTTTTCCAGAGGCTCAGAGCAGCCCTGACCTCTTTGGAAAAAAACATGTCCATTCTCTTCATTGTGGAGTGGATCTAATTTCCCTCAACATCGCAACTGGCAATCTACCCTGATCTAAGTGGTACTTGAGTACGTCGACATGAAACAGAAATAGGCCTGCAATTACAGACACACTGAGTCATGATAGATCGCAAATTTATGAAAATCCTGCTGAACAAAGAAATAATAAAAGCGGGATTTGTTGAGAAATTTCCTGTTTGGCTAAAGACGTGTGCTCCTGCAGCTAGTTTTGCCAAAGGGTGAGGTTGCGGAGCAGCGTTTCAGGGAGGGGTTGGCCATGCCAGGGGGGCTTCGGCCGGATTGCACAACAGCAACAGCAGGCTGCCTGTTGAGGAAAGAACCGCGACTCTGCAGCCAGACCTCTCCGGCTGAGCAGGCTCTGCTCTTTTCCCGTTACAGCTTGAATAATTACTTTCAGGGCAGTATTACGTACGATGCAGTCAAAATACACAAAAGTTGTTGAGTACATACTTGAGACAGTGCAGGGGGCCCGGCGGGGACATGCGGGCCACGCTGGCCCCGTTGACAGTACTGAGCTGAACCTCAGACACATAGAGGGTGATGGAGGACGACTGCAGACGGGTCTTCACTACTTCCAGCGGACAAGTCAATATGGCTCCTACCGTGCCCCCACATCTGGCACAAAGACAGGGGAGGGGGAAAAAAAAGTGGAAGTGAGATAGCAAACAATGTCCGTGTTCCAGCTGACAAAACAAGACAAGCTGTGAATTCCTTATTTTCATTCGCAAAAGGTGTGCAAAGCGTTGCATAAACGAATTAACCAGTGACGTGGTTTATGGAATCCTGAAGATTCCTGGCATGCAGACAAGAAAAAGCGCAGTGTGGGAACAGAGAGCCAGTCAGGAATGTTTTGTGTTTCTTGTGGACAGCAAGCTTCTGTCCACTGCCACACCATTTCCATGTTTGCATTTTCATATGGCAGCTTCTATGCTTCTGTTTTTTCGCAGCCTTGAGAGTCGGGCCAGGGAGCCTCTCATTCCTTGTAGGCTGCACAGGTAATCAACAATTTCTCTACAACTCCAGCAGGCTGTTATAAAACTTTTAGCAGTACTTTTTCAATCTTTAAAGACTCTCTTGATGAAACATTATTTCGTCTTATTCTGGGAAAACAGGTTTGTGACATGATCCCTACGTTACGAACCAGCGTCTAAATCAAAACAAACATGGCAGCCAGTCAGCTACCTGGATAGGAAACAAGGCAGTAAACTGGTCAACGTTTTTATTTTTATCAAAATCAAATATTATTATGTACAACTTTGGGAATGTCACCATTTAATCTGGGCTATTTCTCTCCTACATGTGCCGTAGGAATGTCCCATGGTGCTGCGTTTTCACAAAGACGTACTAAAACCCTTGAAGACTGACTCAAACAAGCACTAGCGCGGTTCCCAAAACTGTGCCACCAGGGTTAACGAAAGAGTTTGGGCTGAAATGAACACATTTTATTGTACGATTGAAGCCTATTTTACATAATAAAACTGGATAGAAAGTGGATTACACTCTTGACAGACACTATTTTTTAGCTTCCATTCAGAATGCAGCTATCAGTTTGTTAATTAATTTTATTTGTGTTCATGTACAATACTTTAAAAAAGGATTTTTTATTATTATGGACTGAATAGCTTTTCACCTGGATGGTTAGCGGAGGCATTGAGGACTCTCCGATCAGTTTAAGTGCATTCAAACAACCTCGGATTTTCAATCGTGTAGAGAAACTGATGAACGCTTCAAATTAGCTTACGACTAGTTTAGATAACTTACAGAAGTCACCTGCTCAGGTGTGAAGTGTAAACAAGACCGTTACAGAGAGGGCACCAAAACGTTATCAGTATAAATAAACTGAACCTAACGGAGCCGTGCTGGGCCGGGCCGGGCCGGGCTAGAGGGGATCAAAAGCAAGAGTGACAGCAGTTATCTATAGTTGGAGTTAATTTTCAATCAGGACCAAAGCATAGAGAGAGAAAGTCCTGTCAACACAGTTTCTGGCAGCGGTACAATAATGTGGGACAGGCTGCTACTGTACACACCACAGAGAAAGGAGGACACTGGAGTAGCAAGCATGGGAGGCATCTTACCTTGATGGCACCTTGATATGGGAAAAAATCTAATATTCTTAAATAGTACTGAACACGCTTTAGCCTATAAAATTAAAGGTATTCTTAATTTTCCCTCTGTGGGTGCAGACACACGTTTATTTATATTAAAAGGAAATGATTACTCATTACCTGCAAACACACTGCCTGGGGTGAGATGACTGTAAAGAATTTACAATGCATCTGTGAACACATCCAAATGCTGATTCACCCATTTTCTAAGGTCGTGTGAACTGTCTAATGAAAGGAAACGTGGAAGCCTTTCTGTTACAGTTAAAGTGAGATCTGCACCACAGTTCTGGTGCCTCGCGGTGCATGCTGAGGCTCGTCTCCGGTTCCTTCACGCTGTTCTCAGAGTGACCTTTAGTGGCACTCTGCCCACGTTTGTTTTGATATGACACCGACACACTGGTCGGCTCCTTGAAACCAATACTACACTATATATACATATAGCTAAGGTCTATTTACTAAAGATGTAACATCCCGTTTCTGTTTGCAGCTAACACGCGTTCACAAACCAGCCATTTCATTCATACATTGAAATGTCATTGAAATGTCAACTCCTCCGGCTGCACGCTCGTGGACGTTAGATTGGTTAGCCGACATGTGGCACACCGAGGCAAATCTTCAGGTTTCCATTATGACACTAACTTAACACCAACTGCACACACACAAAAAAAAAAAACAATACAAATATCACAATAACAGTAGCTCTACCCGGCTAGCAACGGCGGTTAGCCCTGCGCGTGTAGCTAGCTAGCTCCTGTGACATAGAAAAAAAAATGTACTCACCCCCCTGCAAACAGATGAACTAAGGTGTCTCTTTGACTCATTGTGGATCATATTCGGGAAACGTCCACGGGGCAGCACACGGGGACAACGGGGAGACAGGGGGTAGGGGGGGAGAACAACGACCCCGACGTTGCGAGCAAATGATAGTCGGTGCGTCTGTGTTGTGGTGGAGGTCAGCTGCGTGCTGGAAAACGAGGGTATGTAACAGCTAACTCGGCTAGCTCGCGTTAGCCGCCGAAGCTAACGGGCTGTGCGGCGGCGGCGGAGACGGTGGATGTCAGAGCGGCAGGTCGGCGTCTCCTCCTTCGGGAACGGGATAACGCGTCGGCATAGCGTGCGTGCGTTTAATGTTGGCGAGTAATTCCAGTCTTGTAGTAAAGAGGAGCGACTCGACACGGCCTCCCTGTGGCTGACGTGCTCTGCCCCTCTCAAGGCTCTGCGGGTCAATGTTTATCGTCGAATGGGAAGCCGCAAAACAGAGGCGCTGATTGGCGGAGCAGCCCCCCGTCACCGCTGCTTCACGTGATGGGACTTTTATTCAATATTTTTGACTGAGAATGAGCTTAACTGATGCAACACCGAGGAGACATGTGACCGGCTTATTTACTTTCGTTTGGGTAGGTTATACAAGAAAATGACTCATTAGCAATCACGCACTATAAGCTATTAGCAGCTAACGTGGGAACTTATTTACAACTGCAGACGCCATTTTCACATCATTTATCGTGTTTCTGACGAACTAACCGAGCCCTCGTTTTTAAAAGCACTGTCGCCCGAACAGGGACTTGAACCCTGGACCCTCAGATTAAAAGTCTGATGCTCTACCGACTGAGCTATCCGGGCTCTGGCGTTACCGTAATGACGGTAATATTTTGATTAATCCGCTGTGGTGCATGGTGGACGATGTGATGCGAGAAATTATGTGGAAAAAATCACCTTTGATGAAAATTAATTGCACAAAAGCACACTTACAGTTGGAGGTGTCACGTCTGCAGAAGAGTTAACATGACACCTAAAACTGCAAAACAAGCCTGATTTTGTATTTTATTTTCTGTTTTTGAAAATTCAAATGAGAGCTTTTTAGGGGAAAGTGGTTATTAGCTCGCAGGGTTTTGTAATCCTGAGGCTGACCGCTGACAGAAACATGTAGTTTGTTAGCATCTAGTGGGGGTCAAACATACAGCTACTATGAGGTCAGGGCCGCTGCCAATTAGTACGTGGGATCTGACTTAATTTCCTCGAAATTGTTTTTTTTATTTATTGGCAAAATAAGTTAAAGTTTAAAGAATACGTTTTTAATGATTTTCTCCTTCTCCATCAGAAAAAGTCTGAATTATAAGTTTAATGTCCAAATATTTAAAAGTCTGCACTCGGTGAAGTTAGAATTCTGAGGATGGGGAGGTTTCCTTTTTTCACCCAAAAGTCCGAATTCAGTGGTTAGCACCGTCGCCTCACAGACAGAAGGTCGCCGGTTCGTGTCCCGGTGAGGACACCCGGGATCATTCTGCATGGAGTTGTGCAGCGTGGGTTCTCTCCGGGTTCTCCGGCTTCCTCCCACAGTCCAGAAACATGCTGAGGTTAATTGGTGATTCTAAATTGTCCGAGAGTGTGCTTGTTTGTCTCTGTGTGTAGCCATGTGGCAGACTGGTGAAGTCCAAATTTTGGAGAAAAAAAAGTATCCAGAGTTTGAAGTCAGAATTTAAAATTCTGCCTTTTAATTCTGAATTTTAAGGGGGAAAATAAAAGCATGATTCTGAAAAATGTATGACCATAATTCACTGCAGCACCATGCATTCTTCATTTCAGTCCATTTAAATCACAGTATAAGAAAATAAAATCAAAATTTCCACCTTAAATTCTGTCAGAATTCTGATTAAAAAGTCAGAACTCAAAGTTTTTTACACTGCAGTGGCCCTAATCCTCCTCCATAGTGGACATTCTTTAGTTTACAGTAATCCTGTCAGATAGGCCCTGGATAGCCTTTTTAGTTTTCCATATGTCAGACCAGATCCTCTTTAGACCATGATGCACTGCAGTAAGGAAGGTTCATCTTCTGGCAGGGATTCCTCAGTAGAAGCTGAGCAGAACATGCAATCAGCATTCCAGCTGTTTAATTTTCACCTCATCATCACGCCTACTGCTACAGGAAATACTCGTTTGTGTATATCACATGAGGTGCTCGTAGTATTGCCTGCTGCACTGGAACTCAGTGGTAATGCAAGCAGCTATGTTGTTATGTAACTGCACTGGGCTGAATCTTAAAGTTTTCATAAGAAAGGCTCGATTGTTTGCAGCTTTTGTATGACATGCATGATATGATGAATTTAGACGCGAGGGAAAATGTTGCTATCCTTCCCACAGACTGGTCTGACCTCAAGCCATTTTGGTATATGTGACCCAAATATTTCAAACAGAGGTTCTTTATATTTACTGTGGGCGACTGCATGTGTGTGAGGGAAAAGAAAGAGCCAATTGATCTGAGACTGGAGACACAAGTGTACACACAGAATGAGGTTTTCCAATTTGGGAAGCAGAATAAAATCCATACGCCACTTCATTTCATAATTACAGATGCAGCTTAAAAAGGCCAGATCATGTGCCGCAGTTTCTCATGTAATCATGTTACTGCCTACTGACAGAAAGAAGTCTCTGCTGCAGCCTCATTTCTGGCTGTTTAGTGGGTTTTTTTTTTTAACATTTTCTGGACACAATCTGAGTCCTTGTTCAGATAAAAGTTGCAGCTTCACCTTTGTCGTTACTCAGTGTTAATGCACAGGACACATGAGCCATCCTGTCTAAAGTGGGTGAGCAGGAAAACCGACAACACTGCCTGTAGCTTATCTACTGGTTCCCACAAAGACTAGATATTCCTCTAGACAGCAGAGCATTTATGGCTTTTTTTTTTCTTGAAATAAAATGTATATATTACAGTAACCCTTGAAATAAAAACTACAGCTGACTGTCTTTGAATCCATTGACTGCATTTATTTCTGTCATATTTCTGTTAGATTTATGCTGTAAGAAGACTAACGCTGTGTTTCCATGTAACTGTAAAGTGAATTTAAAGCAAACTTTTCAAAAAAAAAAATATAAACAGAAAATGAGATTTGCTTCCATTAACTGTTTTGAAATATTGATCTGTCGCTGGAGGGAAAATCAGGGTTGGGGGAATTTATCTTTCTGAGACCATGAGGGACTGTATAAAAACATTCATGGCAATTTGTCCAGAAGTTATCAGGATATTTTCAGTTTTACTAAAAGCAGTGAGCTGACCCAGGTTGCTCTCCCTGGAGACGTCTAAATCCTCCTTCTTGTGACCTGTCTGGCCTCATGCTCGCTGGATAGCGTGCAAACCAGCGAGTCGAACCGTATCCTCTGCCCTGAACCATCCGGTGTACAGCCCCTCCTCTAATGATGCTAATAATACAAATCAAGGTAGTTAAACTGTGATTCTCCCCGTGTGGGTGCTTATTACTCCCCTTATGTAATCTGTGCTGCTCCCAGAGCCCTGCTTCTTTATTGGGAGATCTTTGAAACGTTGCCCGGAGCGTTTGAAACAAGGCAAAAGGTTTATTTAGGATTCTTTTTCAAGAAAGCCTTGACTTTTAAGCTGTTCTTTGGGTGTGGGCTACTGAAACCTTGCTCACATTCTTAAATGTAGGCAGCATGATTCACAACAAGAAGGATTTATTTGAAGCATTGGACATTTACCAAGACTGTTATATTTAGCAAAGCAATTGTTCTGTTGCTTTTACCGTGATCTTTTACCTGCTAAAGTCCGGTTCCCAAAAGTCTGTTTATACACCTGTTACTTTTCACTCTGCAAATCTGTGGTTATCAAGCCCTTGAAAGTGGACGGTGTGAACCTCAGCAAGCCAAGTATAGAATCTGCAGTACTGAGAGCTCCTTTTTTTTTTTTTGCACTAGAGAAACGACAACATGAACACCGGGTGCAGGAGCCGCGAGTGTCAGTTTGTGAGGAAAACGGTGTATTTTCGGTCTGTTTGCTTTGGCTATCGACGCGGAGGCCAACGTCTTGGTGTCTTCCATGCAAAGTCTGTCTGGAAATAGTCAAATAAAATGTTAGTCTGAACTTTGAGAGCAAACAGTCTCTGGGGAGCTTTGGTTGGCCTCTGAGAGCAAACAAGATCCCAGTTAGAAATCAAAGCGTGTTTTGTGCAAAACAATTATGTCCAGCACGTGTCTAGTTAACCTGAGGCCAGATTGTTAGGATACACATCGACTGAGCATGTAAACATATTGCTGTAATTTAATGTAATATTACATGCAGAGCCTCAACAAATTTTAAGGGAGTCAAAAATGCTGATGCACAGTGCTAGAGTTATATTGAAGACACCTCTTGACTTCGCACCGCTGTCTGTAAAGCTGTGAAACACATTCTGCCACATGCGCTGCACAGTGCTGAGAATATTGTAAACAGTAGAGGGTTAGGCTGTAGTGTGTTTGCCATGTGAGATTGCAACGAGCACCCGGTAAATATCAAGATGTTTGTCACATACTGCTGCTGTTCTGTGTACAGCTGGTGTGGCTGCAACTCTGTTCTGACACACAGATTTTGCACAATGTGTGTTTTCATGGATAAACATCACAGTTTTCTAAGCTGTTCGGGCAGCAATGTTCAATTAATTAATTTGTTAAAACACGAGGGCTGCAGATGATAAAAACTGTTTGTAAAAGGGGCAAAGTAAATTCAAAACAAGTGACGACCTGCTGGGTTTAGGGTGTGTCTTCTTTAATGAGGTTTACCAAATCTGGCGCAATTAGTGAAATCTAATGTGTCGGCTGCAAATTTCCGCCACCTCTGAAGAATGTTTCAGGAGTGTTCGTGTGCCTTTAGCCCCTTAAAAATGCGATTCATTTACAATAACAATAATAATAATAATCATGACACACACAAGAGGACCTTTGCACAGCTCGGTACTCAGGCCCTAATATCACATTCTTCTTTTTATGAATGCAAACGTGGCATTCCTTGCAATAAAATGCACCTTTGCACTAACAGCCCGCCTTGATCTGGTGCGACTGGTTTGTTACGGTGGCTAATCTCAGCAAACTTAAGCTAATTATTCTCTTATAATTAACATTGCTGATTGTGTTTACACACCGTATGGCTCTGCTCTGCCAATGTAGAGTTTAGCATTTGCCGTAATATAGCCACAGTGGAGCGCTATCGTGTGCCTTTAAGCTCATCTGCATTTTTTAACCAGACTTCCATCAGCTGTTGTTCTACATTACTAAGGATCTGATATCCGTGTGTTTAAAATACATTTATAAAAGACGAGACAAGCTGAAGCTTCAGCTGTCACGGATTGTTACGACACCTGACGGGGTGACTGGCCCTTTGAGTCGGAGGTTCCCGTCCTCTATATTAGGGAGAGAAATGTGTGGCTGTGTAGGAACCATATTAGGGTGCTGCCTTA